ATTATCCAGAATGGTAGAGGGTCTCCTGCTTGAGCAGAGGGTTGGACTAGATTAGAAGGCATCTAAAGTCCCTTCCAGCTGTAGGATCCTAGGATTGTATTCTCCCAAACACTTGAGGGCCGGACAAGAACTAACTGGTGGAAGATCATTCAAGAGAGAACCAACCTAGAACTAAGGAGAAAGTTCCAGACAGCGAGAACAATTAATCTGTGGAACAACTTGCCTCCAGAAGTTGTGGGTGCTCCAACATTGGAGGTTTTTAAGAAGAGACTGGACAGACATTTGTCTGAAATGTTACAGTGTTTCCTGCTTGAGTAGTGGGTTGGACTAGAAGACCTCCAAGTCCCCTTCCAACTCTGTTATTCCTGTCACATAAGTGGCTAACAATAAAGCTACCGTTCGACACTACTCATGGTTCTGGGTGCTGCGCTCTATAGTTTTCCCAGGGAGGATTGTAAAGGCAGATTTACAACGGAGAATTGCTTCCTCAATGGGGCTACCTTAGAGCCCATCCACCTTTGCTGTCTTCCAAAACCTTGGACTATAACTCTCGGGTGCCAAAAATAGCTAGCCATCTGAGGCTATAGGATCTGTTAACCTGCAGTTGGTTTTTTCAATCAACTCATCCTTCAAGCTTCGAAAGCACGGGTCCTATCCCACTGATCAGAAGCCTCCCCCCAAAAAATTCACCTTAAATACGTCACCGTACCAAATCTTCAAGGGGAGAGGATTAGCTGCGCTCGGGGAGGAAGCGAAATGAATCTCTTCCCCAGCGGAATCCGAGGAAATGAGAAAGGCCAGATGCTGGCAACATGTGGCGATTTAAGAGGTCTGGACATGTAGGTAGAAGAAGCTCTTCTAGAGCAAGTAAGGATTTTGTGCTTTTACTCAATCAGCAGAGGCTTCGGATGGGCTACCACCAATAGCTGTGATGGCGAACCTCTGGCACGCGGCATTGCCAGGTGGTCTTCGGGATTCCGGTGTGCACATGTGTGCCGTCCAGCTGATCTTCGCGTGTGCTGGACCCCAGAAACCCAAAGATTAGCTGGCCAGTGTGCATGCATGCACTGGCCACCTGGTCTTCGGGTTTCCAGTGCTCCAGCATGGGCAAAGAGCAGCTGGCCAACACGTATGCGCACACCGGAAACCCCAAGACCAGCTGGCCGGCACACATGTGCACACCGGAAACGCAAAGACCAAGTTGCCAATGCGCACATGCACACCGTCCAGCTAGTCTTTGGGTTTCCAGGGCTCCGGCACATGCCAGCTTACATGCGCACACTGGAAACCCAAAAAGGCCAGCTTGCCGTTGCGTGCATGCGCATCGTCCAGCTGGTCCAGGGATTTCTGGGGCTGCAGCGTGTTTCGGTTTAAGCACTTGGTGCCGAACAGTTTCGCCATCGCTGACCTATGGTTTTGGTACAGCGTGCATGACAAATAGGAGTCACGGGAAATGAGGATTGAACTTAGAATAGCCAGGGTATGTTCTGATCACATTGGATCCTGAGCAGATCAAAACTTTGATCCAGGTTCCCCCATTGTTATTATTTGTTAATTGCAGGCATTTTTATTTCATGCTACCTTGTTTACCCTGAAAATAAGTCCTCCCCGTATAATAAGCCCAATCGGGCTTTTGAGCGCATGCGCTAAAATAAGCCCTCCCCCGAAAACATTGCAACACAGCAGCAGCCATGAATGACCACGCTCACCGACTCCTGCACCTCAAAAATAATAAGACCTCCCCGAAAATAAGGCCAGGTGTTTTTTTCGAGGGGTCAAAAGAAAATAAGAGCCTGTCTTATTTTCGGAGAAACACGGCAGTGACTCAAACAGTCCTGGGTCAGGAGCCAGTTATGTTCCTGTACTTAAGATGTGAGAGACCGGACCGTTGACAAGGGACGACAGAAAGGTTGTAAAGAAAGGAGGAGGATTAAACAGAGAAGGAGCTCGCTTAGGCTGCAGAAATGCCGGCTCACGTGGCTAAGATCATCATCATGCATTTTGTTTTAAGATTTCAGTAAGTCTTGCTTTGGGGGAAGTGGGCATCATCCAGATGGGAGGATGGGGGGGCTCCTAGAAGACTGTGCCATGCTATATTTTGCGGACAAGTAATACAAGTCTCTCTCTATGTGTACCTGTGTGCAGGTATACTGACTTGCTTGACACCAAGGGCTGCTAATTTTGCCGAATCTACAAATTTTTAAAAAAACAGCACAAAAGAGAATATTTGTAGCTCGGGGTTGAACTGTGAAGGTCCTTGGTGCATCTCTGAGCTTGAATGTTTTCTTGCGGACGTTTCATGACCCAAATAGGTAACATCAGTGCTATAAGGGGGAGGAGGGGGTGTTGCTCTCCCTACTCCCTTCTAGCGCTGATGATAATGCTTAGTTGGGTAATGAAACGTCCGGAAGAAAACCACCAAATTCCAAAAGCACAAAGGGACCCCACAAATGCGACTCTACTGGTGGTCAATGTTAGCTTGGTGGAACTTCTGGATTTTTGGTGCAATGATGCGCTCCTTCACGCTCTCTTCAGCTATTCGTGCAACTGCGGAGCACGATGCTCGCTCCTGTCTCTTTACAATGGCAGCTACTCCTACACGCAAGCAGACGCATCAGGACAGATGATGTTTTGTTAAGAGTTGCGCACGGCTGGCATATTGAAAGGAACCAAAACACAACAGTGCCAACATAAAATTAGACACCGTAATTATTTCTTTTTTTTTAAAATAAACCCTCCATCAGCATTAAATGTTTTAACATTTCAAAACATTAAGAAAGCCTTGTACAGAGGATGCACTAATTGAAAGGAAATTTAAGGAACTGTTTCTCCTGTAATCTGTTGGCTGAGCAACTCCAAAGTTTTTATTTAAAAGAAGTGAAGACAGCCTATGTATTATTTCTCTCTCTCTCTCTCTCTCCCCCTCCCTCCCCCCTATTGAGGAAGGGTGGGGCCATTGTTGATAACCGATGCTAATCCCAACAGCTGTTTCATTTGGTGAAAGCAAAGCTTGATTTCCATTTATTTTCCCCTTATGGGATTTATTCGAATGCTTTCAAAGAAAGTTTTAAAAATCATGCCCTTTCGCCAATTTTTCTACAACTGGGGTAGCAGGTAGCATTCTGCACCAGGCCTCTCACCCACTTATTTTTTTGGGGGGGTTCCGGAATGAAAGATAAAGGAGGAGCAGCTGCGGTTGTTTCTAAGGGTCCAACCACCGAAAATAGGTGCAGGTTTTGCTCCAACAGAACATTCTTATTCCCCCCCCCCACTTCCCCCAAGTTTAGTTGTGATGGAACTAAGCCATTTCAGGTTCAGTTCCTCCCCCCCCAAAAACCATACAGGCCAACTCAAACCAATCCCAACCTGTGGTGGGATTCCAAATCCTTTCCTGCCGGTTGTATGGGAATGCGCTTTGCACGTGCAGCACTCAAATACCGCCCTCGGTTTCAGTGCTGGTGAGCTGAGATGTTTTTTTGTGTTTTTTTTAGCTCAGCTGAGGTGCGGACGTCTGCTCTGCCGCGCGAATCAGCTGAGCTGAAAAAACAAGGGAATACAGGACAAGAAACAAAGGGGCCAGGGGGGCGAGGCCAGCCAGAGGTGTTATTTGCCAGTTCTCCGAACTACTCAAAATTTCCGCTACCGGTTCGCTCAAACCAGTCCGCTCAAACCAGTCCGAACCGGCTGAATACCAACTCTGGTTCCAACAGAGCAGTTAGGATTTCAGCCTCAAATGAAAACTCATTTTTTTTCCTAGCTTCACACACCTCTCTCTCTCTCTCTTTGCTGGCCCCTGGAGACTATTTAATTGGAAGAGCCAGTGGCTGGATTTGGAGCCACTCTGGTACTTGCACACGAAGCCGGTGTTCAGCCTGTTAAGCTTCACCAGGCTTCCAACGTTAAACCCCGAGACTTGATGAAGGAGAACAAGCAACTTCTTGCTAGCCTGTTCACTGACTTGACAGTTCCAGGAATGAGAAATGGGTAGGAATGGACTCAGGCAAGTGACTATTAAGAAGGTCCTCATTGACAAGGAGGTTGGGGTCCAGGAGCAAATGGGGAGAAGGAAAGAAAAGAAGAAGAAGAAGAAAAGATAATATGCCATGCAAACCTTGACAGACCCAGAACCTCTCTCTTAAAATCATAATTAAGAACATAACGACGACAACAACAACAGAAAGAGAGACCCACACTTATTACATACTCCTGGATATCATGCACTCTTGTTTTGTTTCTTTCTTCCCTCCCCAAAGGTCCTTCTGAAGATGAAGTCGAGTCTGGTTTTGTTTCATTTTTGTGTGGCCACGGATCAAGGCAGGTGATCGTTCTCTTCCCACCACAAGTGCATCGTGGGAAATGGCCACAGCGAAGATGCTGAAAGGAAGGCCCCAGGATAATCGGAAAGGTGTGAAGCTCTCGGCCCTCCCAATTCTGTGCTTTTGTGCTTTCGGTGTCTGTAAACCCCCAAGCCCCACCTTGCTTTCCAAGGTCCACGGGGTGGGGTGGGTGAGGGTCCCCTCCCCTCCCGAAAGTTAAGACCATAAACAAATTCCAGTGTTTTTTGAGTTGGGAGGGTGAGAGGAGCCCACAAGGAGGAGACCAAGAGACACTTTTAGGATGCAAACAGGAGGAGTACGTGGGGCGGGAGTCGGTATACTATACAAAGACAGGCAATAATAATTAAAAGTATTAACATCAAAGCCACCACTGATCAGTACAAACGACACGGTAAGGGACCAATCTATGTCGGAGAAAATTAAGCAGGGGAAAAGAAACAAGGCTCTCCTCTCCCCCAGGAAAAATAAATTCATTAAGCCAAGCAACATCCCTCCCGCCCCACCCCAACTCCCCTGCTTTGCCTGCTCCGAGGTGCCCCCCAAAGTAGTGGAAGTTCTTGTTGGCTTCCCGAGTGTCCCTGTACTGCGTCCCACCGCCCAGCGGATGGAGGTCTCTGGGTGTGCGTGTGTTGGGTGGGCAGGGGACCTCTGGCCGTGTGACAAGGCACACGGGCTCTGAGGAGCAGCCACCAGCCCCGGGGCACGGAGGCAGGACGTGGCCGGTGAAGAGAGGGCAAGAGAGGGGAGGAGGTGGACCACGCTACACATACCACTCTTTTTTGGAAATAAAAGACCCGTCATTCTGAGAGACCATGTTATCGGCTATGTCTAGTTGCTCGGGGTCATACTGGAATCCAAGTGTCCGTTCATTGTAGGCTTCAGAACGGGCTTCGCCCTCATCCACCGTGAAGTAAGGCCGCTTGGAGTCCTCCTCGTACTTGTTGGGACAGGACCGGTGCTTCCGTTCGGCCCCGGCGCCATCGTCGTCTTCGTCTTCATAGCTGTTGCTGCCCAGAGGGCCGGGCTTCTTCTCGTCGTCCGAATCGTCAGGATACTGAAGGTTCTGGGCCATGGGTGGGTGATGCTGAGGGACGCCCGCCTTGCTGTACCCGTTGCCGTAGACGTGCTTCTTGGTGCTGTAGTCGCCCTTGAAAGTGTGTCGCCGGTGACGGAGCACCATAAGGACGACCACGGCCACCACTACGACCAACGAGGCTCCGCCCACCACGCCCCCAATCACGGCGGTGGGGACAGTCGGATGTGCCACGGATGTGCCCGGTGGAGACGGGGTGTAGGGGAATTCTGGGTAGGAAAAGACAGATGGAAGGGGGAACAAGCATCAGTCTGTGAGGAATGGCAAACACATGCTTTCAGACTTAAAAATAATAATAATAATTTCAAAAAATCGGGGGAGATGAGGAGAAGGAAAACGGGAGGGAAAGCCAGGGAAGGGGGCAGGAAGTGCCTACCTATGGAAGCCCTGACATGGGCGCTTCATACCCAGCCTTGTGGTCACAAAAATGCTTGGCTCCCCACACAGCCCTTCATAGAAATGCGGATACGTCTCAAGCAAATCACTCCATCAGCACTGCATATAATCACCTTAGATCAAATCGTATTTCTTCCCCATTTCAGCCACCACACCACACTGGGCTCCACAAGAATGTGCACCCCATTGAGAAACTCATGGTGTGTCAGATCTGAAAGCCACCTTTTCTTTTTAGGTTTCGGGCCTGTCCCACTTTCTACTGTGGGAAAACGGAAGTGGGGTTTATGTGGAGATGGGTGATGTGTAGCCATAATAACATTCTTCTTAGAAAGCCAAGGTCATCTTTGTCTCTGCACCTGGCTGGAACTGGATGAGTGGAATCTGTCCTTGTGGCAGTGGAAGCTTGGACCATGTGACGAACTTACGGGTGTTTGGGGCAGGATGTTGAACTTTCAACTGGGTGGGAAAACCGGGAAGCTTTCAGATTCGGGTTTTCCCAGATGTGCCAATAAAGTGGAGCTTTGAGGAATCTCTTGCCTCAGATTCTTATTTTATTTTGGGTGCTATTTGGAATGCTGACATTAAACCAAATCTGGCATGACGTCTGTCAGCCTCGAGTACTGACTCACACGTGCAGAGTCAGTCAGCTAACTACTTTGTTATGCTGTGCCTATAATACAGGAATCTTCCCAGTCTGGCTGCCTACTCTTGGGAACAAATAGATACGGCTCTAAGGAAATTGAGGAGGAGGTGGGCTTGGCCCTGACTCTTCTGTGGTTGTGTAGTGACTCCAGGCTAGGTCTGTGCTTGATTCCCCCCCCTCTCTCTGACACTCTTCCCAACAATGTCCAACCTTTGAAATGAATCCCCTCTCCGTGTCAACCTTACAAATACCAACGTAAGATTCTGCCAGGATCTACTTGCCAAATATTTAGTCAATCCCTGATGGTTTCCTGTTCGTAAGCATTAATTCCTCGTGAGGATAAGATCTCATGTGGTTCATTTGTTTGCAGGACGGGTATTAAGAACTGACAGCCACCCACAGATCAAGAGAGGCATCAATGAGATTGAACAAAGAGGTAGGAGGCCATGTTTGTGGCACAGACAAAACATGGCACAGTCGTCACCTCTTTTGACAGGGGCTCAAATGACTGCCA